GTCTTCCCCGGTCCCTCCCTCCCCTACCTGCCTCGCCTGCGCCACCCTGCCTTCCTTGCGTCGAGGGGCGGCAGCGCGCCGCTCCTCACTCCTCCTCGTTCCCCCCGACAGAGGCTCCTCTGGAGACCCTCCACCTGGACGTGTGGGGCCCAGCCCGCGTTCGTGGTCAGGGCGGTGAGCGGTATTTTTTGCTGGTTGTCGACGACTACTCGCGTTACACCACGGTCTTCCCCTTGCGCACCAAGGGTGAGGTCCCTGCTGTTCTGATCCCTTGGATCCGCACGGTTCGTCTCCAGCTCCGCCGCCGTTTCCGGACGGATCTTCCTGTCCTGCGTCTGCACTCTGACAGAGGTGGTGAGTTTTCCTCCGACCTCTTGAGGACCTTCTGTCAGGCGGAGGGCATCGAGCAGACCTTCACGCTTCCGGACTCCCCACAGCAGAATGGGGTTGCTGAGCGCCGCATTGGCCTGGTCATGGAGGTCGCTCGTACCTCCTTGGTCCACGCGGCGGCTCCCCATTTTCTGTGGCCGTTTGCTGTCCGGTACGCCGCGCATCAGCTCAACCTCTGGCCCCGTGTCTCCTTGCCGGAGACCTCGCCCACACTGCGTTGGACGGGGGAGGTTGGCGATGCGTCGCGCTTCCGGGTGTGGGGTGCTCGTGCCCTTGTCCGCGATACGTCCGCGGACAAGCTCTCCTCCCGCACGCTTCCCTGTGTCTTCCTTGGCTTTGTCCCTGACGCGCCTGGCTGGCAGTTTTACCACCCCACCTCGCGCCGGGTCTTCGCCTCTCAGGATGTCACCTTTGACGAGTCGGTCCCTTTTTACCGTCTCTTCCCCTACCGCACTGCCCCCCTCCCTCCCCCGCCGCTTTTCCTTGCTCCTGGTCCCCCTCCGGTAGACCCCCTTCCCCCTCAGGGTCCTGCTCCTTCAGGTGTCTCTCAGGTAGACCCTCCTCCCGTCGCTGAGCCTGTCGAGGTCACAGGTGACTCAGGTGCTGCTGCGGGTGGTGCTGCTGGGAGTGCTGAGCCTGGGGGTGCTGAGCCTGGGGGTGCTGGGCCTGGGGGTGCTGGGGCTGCAGGTGCTGGGACTGAGGGTGCTGGAGCTGAGGGTACGGTGCCTGAGAGTACGGAGCCTGGGGGTGCTGCGCCTGGGGGTGCTGAGCCTGCGGGTGCGGGGCCTGGGAGTGCTGCGACTGGGGGTGCTGCGCCTGCGGGTACTGAGCCTGCGGGTACTGAGCCTGGGGGTGCTGCTACTGAGCCTACGGAGCCTCGGGTTACTGCGTCTGGGGGTGCTCCGGTTCGGGGTGCTGAGCAGTCTCTCACACCGCAGCAGCTTCGTGACTGGTACGTCCGACGCTTTCGTCGTCCTAGTGGCTCGGCTGGAGTTGGGGGTGCTGGAGCTGCTCGTCCTGGGGGTGCTCGTACTGGGGGTACTGGAGCTGCCGGGACTGGCTGTTCTGGGAGCACTGCGACTGGAGCTGCTGGAGCTGGGGACTCTGGCGCTGGCGGTGCTAGCGGAGTTGGAGCTGCCGACTCTGGGGGTGGCGCTGCTGCTGGTGCTGCGGACCCACCTGGTGGAGCTGCTGCTGGTGCTGACGAGTCGGACGGTGGAGCTGCTGCTGGAGCTGGGGACCCGGCCGGTGGAGCTGCTGCTGGTGCTGTGGACCCGGACGCTGGAGCTCCTACTGGTGCTGAGGACCCGGCCGCTGGAGTCCCTTCTGCTTCTGGAGACGCTGCGCGGCCGCGACCGTACTTCGTACCGCTCCTTCAGCAGGTTCTTGGGCAGGCTCCTCCTCCTTGTCCTCCTCCCTCCGTAGAGTGTCCTCCGCCTGTCCAGCCGCAGTCACAGTTACCGCCTGCCTCGCCTCTCCCTGCTCCCTCTCCTTATACTGGTCCCACAGGAGGTCTTACAGAGCGTCGTGAGCCTGAGTCTCGTCCTGCGTCGCCTGTTCGTCCTGCTCGCACTGCTAGTCGTGTCCGTCGTGAGCGTCCTCCTCCTGTCCCAGGCACTCACTACATGACTCTGCGTCCCTCTACTGCTCCTCGGCGTGTCCCTCTACCGTCTCCTCCTGCGTCCTCTTTGCCTGCCGTTCCGGACCCTGAGTCTGACCGGTATCGCGCTGAGCACCCTACAGTCACGCGTCTCCTCGCTACTGTTGTCACTGACCCTACCTTTGAGTCCTCGGCTGCGTCTGCTCTGGTCGCTGAGTTGGTTGACTTTGCTGCTGCCTGTCGTCTAGACTACGCTGCTAGCCTTGTTGCTGCGTCAGAGTCTGCGTCTGTCTGTCCTCCGTCCGTCGGGGGTGAGTGTGCTCTTGGCACGGACGTCCTTGAGGACAGGCAGGAGGACTTTGACTCTCTTGCGGCTGCTGTACCTCATCTCGTGGCCTGGTTGCTTGCCCCTGAGGGAGACCCGGATGCACTAGACATCCCCACTCCGCGCACTTACGCAGAGGCGATCTCGGGTCCCTACTCCTCTCAGTGGCAGACAGCCATGGACGCAGAGATGGCATCCTGGAAGTCCACAGGCACCTACGTCGACGAGGTTCCCCCTCCTGGGGCGAACATCGTCGATGGCATGTGGATTTTCAGGGTGAAGCGGCCGCCAGGTTCTCCGCCTGTCTTCAAGGCTCGTTACGTTGCTAGAGGCTTCAGTCAGCGTCAGGGGGTCGACTTCTTCCAGACCTTCTCCCCCACCCCGAAGATGACCACTCTTCGGGTTCTGCTGCACGTTGCTGCTCAGCGTGACTACGAGCTTCACTCTCTTGACTTCAGCACAGCGTTCCTGCAGGGCAGCCTGCACGAGGAGATCTGGCTGCGCCGCCCACCTGGCTTTACTGGGTCGTTTCCCCCTGGTACCCAGTGGAGTCTCCGCCGGCCAGTCTACGGTCTCCGCCAGGCGCCACGTGAGTGGCACGACACACTGAGGACTACTCTTGCGGCTCTTGGGTTCGCGCCGTCTACTGCTGACCCGTCGCTGTTTCTGCGCACAGACACGTCGCTGCCGCCGTTCTACATTCTCGTGTACGTCGACGACTTGGTCTTTGCTACTGCTGACACTGAGGCACTCGCTCGTGTGAAGTCGGAGCTGCAGAAGAGACACACCTGCACTGACCTGGGTGAACTGCGTAGCTACCTTGGCTTGCAGATCACCCGGGACAGAGCTCGCCGCACCATCACCCTGACTCAGTCACACATGGTGCAGCAGGTCCTTCAGCGCTTCGGCTTCCAGTTCTCCTCACCACAGGCCACACCTCTGGCTACCAGCCACTCGCTCTCAGCTCCACCTTCGGACGAGTCCGTAGAGCCGAGTGGCCCGTACCCAGAGCTTGTAGGCTGCCTCATGTACCTGATGACTTGCACGCGACCTGACCTCGCGTACCCTCTTAGCATCCTTGCTCGTTACGTTGCACCTGGGAGACACAGGCGAGAGCACTGGGAGGCTGCTAAGAGGGTGCTGCGTTACCTGTGCAGTACATCAGGCATGGGGCTGGTGCTTGGAGGACGCGACAGAGTTGTCCTCACTGGTCACTCGGACGCCTCTTGGGTGGACGACCTGGCTACGCAGCGGTCGTCACAGGGTTACACCTTCAGCCTTGGCTCAGGTTCTGTCTCGTGGCGGTCCACCCGCTCTTCCTCTGTTCTCAGCTCTAGTTGTGAGGCTGAGATCTACGCCACAGCCATGGCTGCACAGGAGTTACGCTGGCTCACCTACCTGCTGACTGACTTGGGAGAGCGGCCTAGTTCTCCTCCAGTTCTGTACGGTGACAACAAGGCGGCTCTTGCCTTGTGTCAGGAGCACAGACTGGAGCACAGGACGAAGCACATTGCTCTTCGCTACTTTCTTGCTCGAGAGCTTCAGCAGCGCGGTCAGCTTCGGCTTGTGTACGTGGACTCGAAGGCCAACACTGCTGATATCTTCACCAAGGCGCTCCCGCCTAGTGATCATCAGCGGCACTGTACTTCTTTAGGCCTTGTGTCCACGTTTCCTCACTTGCTCACTGCTTGACATTCTTTGTACTGTACTTTATATATATCTTGTTGCTTGCTTGCTAGGTTTTGATCACTGTGTTGCTTGTCTTGTACTATATCTAGCACTGCATGTGAACTGGCCTTGTGGCCTTTACTTGTGCTCGGAGTGTGGTGACGTTGTGATCCACCCTGGGCTTTGTTTTGCTTTGCTGGACTGGTCTTGTGACCCTTTGTTCTCCCCCACTTTGCCTATGGGGGTGTGTTAAAATGTATTATGCTTGTAGGCTGTAGTGGGGTAGCCAATATGGGGTACAACCCCAACTAGGGTTTCATATTTGTACCCAAACTTCTGTTAGTTCATTCATTCTTGCCTAGTGATTCTAACACCATCACCATCGCCCACCACTTCAACAGGGGTGCGCAGCTGTTCGCCGTCCGCTTGCGCGAATGGGCAGTTGACACCGACGGAAAAGACATCGAGAAGCTGTGTGCAGCTGTACCTCCGGATTTAGCGGAGCTAATTCGATAGTACCTCGACATCTTCCCGGACGATTTGCCACCCGGACTGCCACCCGAGAGACCCGAAGACCACAAAATCCAGCTGGAACCTGGCGCGCAACCTACTGTTCGGACACAGTGGCGGTTGACCCAACCGGAACTCGAGGAGCTACGCCGACAAATTGTTGCACTGTTGGAGAAAGGCTTCATTCGGCCGAGCACCTCCCCGTTCGCGGCACCGATCCTGTTCACTCCAAAGAAGGACGGCGGGCTTCGCATGTGCATCGATTATCGCGCGTTGAACCGGGTGACCATCAAATCTCGCTACCCAATCCCACGCACCGACGACCTTCTCGATCAACTTCGCGGCGCTCGCTACTTCTCGAAAATCGACTTACGTGGCGGTTACCACCAGATTCGGGTCTTCGCCGACGACTGTCACAAGACCGCGTTTCGTACACGCTACGGGAGTTACGAATTTACAGTGATGCCTTTCGGCCTCACGAACGCGCCTTCGACATTCCAACTGACCATGAACAGGGTTTTTCGCGATCTTCTAGACCGATGTGTCATCGTCTATTTGGACGATATCCTGATTTTTAGCAAGACACGGGAGCAGCATCTCCGCGACCTGGACGCAGTATTTAAACGGTTGCAGGAGAACCGCCTCATCACCAAGGGCTCTAAGTGCGAGTTTTTTAAGCAGGAGTTGGAGTTTTTAGGGCACGTCATCTCCCGCGACGGCATTAAAATTGACCCGGCGAAGATTAAAACCATACAAGGGTGGAAGGCCCCGACTAATGTCACGGAGCTTCAGAGTTTTCTGGGGTTCGTGAATTACGTCAGGCGGTTTATCCCGAATATGGCGGGGATAACCGGCCCGCTGACCGACCTGCTGCACAAGGACAAGAATTTCGTGTGGGGGGAGGAGGCAGAGGCGGCTTTCCAGGAGCTCAAGAATTTTCTCGTTTCTCCTCCTGTACTGCGCATCGCCGACCCATCGAAGCCGTTCGAAGTTGTAACCGACGCCTCTGATTTCGCCATCGGAGCAGTGCTTCTCCAGGATTTCGGGAACGGGCTGCAGCCGATCGCCTACGAATCACGCAAGCTGCAAGCTGCCGAGCGCAACTACCCGATCCACGACAAGGAGATGCTCGCCATAATCCACGCGTTTAAACTGTGGCGATGCTACCTGGTGGGCGCCGACGTCACTGTGCGCACGGACCACAAGTCCCTACAGTACCTGCGAGCTCAACCGAACCTCAACCCATGACAAATTAGATGGCTGGATTACATGGAAAGCCACTTCACCTACCGCATCACGTACAAGAAAGGGGCGAATAACATCGCCGACGCCCTGACCAGACCGACCGTACAATCCGCTGCTGTACTGATCACCCATTCGAACCCGCTACTTACAGGACTATTCACCCACGGCTACACTACGGACCCGTTCTTCACGACAGGAAATCATCAGCAGGCCACGACGCAGAAGGGGGATTATTACCTAAAAGCCGGCACCGACAGGATTTGGGTCCCCGCTTACCGGCTACTGCGTGAACTCCTCATCCAGGAGGTCCACGATTCGAATTACTCCGGACACTTCGGGGTTGATAAAACCCAGAAATTACTGCACCGTCAATATTACTGGCCCGATTCTTCTAACGATGTGCAGCGTTATGTGTCCTCATGCAGGGTGTGCCAAGCCATGAAATCGACACGTCAGCGACCAGCTGGGCTGCTGCAACCCCTCGAGCCACCCGAACGACCGTGGCAACAGGTGACGATGGATTTCGTCACGGGGATGCCAGCTGGGCCGTCCGGCAACGACGCTGTCCTCGTCGTTGTCGATCGCTTCACGAAAATGGCGCACTTCGCACCATGCCGAACGACGATCACAGCCGAAGAAACTGCGCGCCTCTTCATCTCAACGGTCGTGCGACTACACGGCATCCCTTCGGCGATCATCACCGACCGGGACCCGAAGTTTACATCCAAGTTTTGGAAGGAAACATGGGCGCAGTACGGCACGAAGCTACAGTTCTCATCGGCCTACCACCCACAGACGGACGGACAAACCGAGCGAACCAACCAGACGATGGAGCAGCTGATACGGACAAACTGCCCCGACCTGGCACGATGGGAAGATTCCCTCGCCATGTTGGAGTTTGCCTTCAACAACGCACCATCGAGCACGACTAATCACTCCCCGTTCTTCTTGAATTACGGGATGGATCCGACGGTGCCCACGGCAACTTCGCTCGACAACCCGGTCCCGCGATCACAAACTTTTGTGACGGAACTTCAGCACATCCGCGAGAAAGCAGCAGACGCAATTCGCAAAGCGAATATTACTTCCCGCAAGTACACCGACCTCCTACGCCGGGAACTCGTCTTGACCACTGGGCAATTAGTGCTCCTCGACACGAAGAACCTGCATCTGCCCGGCCCATCGAAGCTACGGCCCCGATTTTGCGGACCGTTCAAGATTATCAAGATGGTGACACCTGTCACCGCGAAGCTGTTACTACCGGACGACTGGCGAATTCATGACGCCTTCCACGTCAGCCTGCTTCGCAAGTTCGTGCCAGCCACGACCGACATCGCACGTCGGCAAACCGTCCCGACAGCTCGACCTGTCCCGGAGCCGACACTCGATCCATCGAAGATTCTCGCTCATCGGGTTCGACTTGACGCAGCTGGCCGACACGTGGATTTCTTAATCCGCTGGACTGATCGCACCAGTGAGGACGACACGTGGGTGCCATCCGCCTCGCTCGACGCCTCGCCACTTGTTGGTGATTATTTGGCACGCAAGCGTGTTTCGGATATTGACCGCCTTTCTTAAGGGGGGGGTGGTGTAAGGAATTTTCTCGAATTCCTTATCGGGGTTGACTGCTGCGCGTACAACCCGATTTTCGGAGTTCGCACGATCGGGCGATTTCCACGCTGCCGAAGCTCCTCGCGTCGCCTTCGGCATTCCCATCGCCAAACCTGCACCCAACCTCGCTCGTCCGAGGTTTCCTCCTAGCTAGGCTAGCCTACATTAGTTCTCGCATTCATTGTATTCTCAGATTCATTCAGTCACAGTCTCGTTATTCGTTTACCTGCGTACTCTCTTTTACAACTCATAACACCCACTCACCAAAATGCTTTGTGAATCAAAACTGCTTTCACCAGGTTCCTTATTACTGGCCAGGTGGTAGTCGCGAAACGCTCGCCGGGATCATATATTTTATGTAGTTGAAAATGGTCAATTATGTTCGGACGCAGAAATTGAATTGGTGCAGAGGTTCGAAATTCGAACCCCATCTGCCACATTTGCCACCCAACGCGACGAAACATTCCGTCCCCAGCTGTTACAGGTATTTGCAGTCACCTGCTGCTCCAGTGCGCCCGTCGTTTGTCCTGCCATCACCGTCCGCCTAGCGGCTCGCGCCGCGTCGCATAACACGCCAGCTCCAGCTCGGATGGTCGGCAGCGCGGCGACTTACTACGGTCGTCATCACAGCCGCCATCAAGCAGATTGCACCGAACGTCGTGCCTCAGAAAGGCGAGAACCTTGTCCGAAACGGCCAGAGAAGGAAGTGAACCTGCAACCACCAACGCCGCCACCCAAAGGCTGCTCTCTCTGGTTGGTCGGTGTCGGCTTCGCCAGCTCGCTCGGTCTCTGCTGGTATGACAAGCAGCAGCCGCGAATCGGCTACCTACAGTTACGCGCGTCGGTTTCAGGAGCCGCCATTCACAGCGTACAGTATCGACGATTCAAAGTCTAGACTTTGTCAGTAGGAGTTTTCGCCCCAGCCACCCACCGACACGCACCCTACTAGGATGACCAGAGGCCAGCCGGGCCTGCAGATATGCTTGTTGAAGAAAAGGCTAGGGTGCGCTTCGGACTTTCTGGACTTAGCATGGTAATACAAAGCCTCCACGCGAGTGCGGAAAGAAATGGCTCGTCAATTCTGACTATTCCGTCGCGTTCTCCGCCAGTGCTTCAGGAAGTTCTTCGTCCCCCTAGAAGGGCCCTGGGATCGCTTGAGACTCGCCCACCGACGGATTCCGCGCCACCGCCATGGCACTAGTAGGCGTTTCTCATCACATTAGCACCACTACTAGTTCTACTCCCCGTCACCTCATGGCGGTCCGGAATGTTCTCGCCGTGCTGCTGCTTCTGCAATCAATCCGCGCCGCGACCTTGGTCACAGCCGTGCACCATGGCGGCCGCCGTGATGTGCGGCTCGCCGCGCCGGTTCCCAAGGGCCAGCTGCCGACGCGCGAGCAGATGCTAGCGGAAGTGGCGAAAGCCATGGCGGAGGTGAAAAAGAACCCCAACTACACCAAGATCGCCTCTATCGGCAAGACTCTCCGTGAGTTGGCCGCGCGTTTGCATTGCACTGCGATCAAGAAAAGAACTTGTGTGTCTAGATGTTTCCTTTTTAGGGAATCAGTCTGCCCAGACTTATCGTCTGGCTGTTCAGCTCAGTTCCGCCCGGTTAAGTACTGCCGTACGAGGGCTATCCATTCCACCATGTCTGTTCTGAGCCCACCATTCCGTCTTCCTCTGTTCCATTCCGTTTACTTTCCGTTGCTTTTTCAATTCCACTGGACTGGCAGTCCCGAAGGCGCCGAAGAAGTACGACGTACGGCAGGCGTACAACAGCACGATACTCGTCGGCAGCAACGACGCCATCACCAGCCTCATGAAACGCGTCCCTATAACGCAACTCGATAAGCTGTTTCAGACGCTACAGTACATGACGATTCGCGGAAGATGGTCGACCGCTAAGCTGCAAAAGCAGGGCATGGCGAAATTCGCGACGTGGTACGGTAAGCTCCCGCTGCAGAAAATGACGCTAGCGAACTCTGCGACGCTGTCGTTCGGGAAACCTGGAAGCGCGCCGAGCAAGTGGACGACCATCCAGACGGCGGGTCTGTACCGCGGCCCTTATTTCACCGTTCACGGAGTTAACTACTGCATCGTCGTCTAAATGACTCTCCACCCACACATCTTGGTTCTGTTCTCTCTGTCAGTTCAAGAGCGTCCACGAGAAGTCATTGCACGGAAGTCTGGACAACACGAACCCGCTCGGACTCTCCAGCATCTCTAGTTGCCCACCAGGTGCTCCTTTCGGAGCACCAATTTCTGCCCATACTCGCTTTTCGGACGGCTCCCCCTTCCCAATCTCTCCCCCTCCGCGTCCCTCGTTGGCATAGCTTCGTTGTGCAAAAGGAAATTGGTAAACGTGGTGAAGTGAATGTGATGCGACATGTATGGTGGGGATTATATGTAAATATATATTCGGTACATATAAACATATTCGGTATATATTAGTAAATCATAGGCACAGTGCACCATAAAGATCATTACAGCACAAGGCGCACCACCCTTATTACCAGCCTTACGTATTGGTGACAAGTCTAGCGCTTGAGGTTGCCATTCCCCAAGGCTGGGATTTGATGCCTCAATTACACCACCTGTGAAGGAGCCAGAGGATGCAGCTCACCTGTGGGGACACGAAACAACACCGCACGCACATTATAAACAGTTACACAAAGAAGAGAGTCATTAAAGATAGTCATGGATCATACAAGGGAGCCTTGGGATGCCAGCACTGGGTGGGAATGGAGAGTGCCAACGCACTGGGAGATGAAACAGAACGGTGAAGCTCAACTTTAGTGAAGCTTGTTCATGCATGTGTCGTGCTAATTTGGAAAAAGAAGGTAATCATGTGGGCAGAAATTGCTGTGAGAGGCAGGAAAAAAGTAATAGTAATAAAAGAAACTACCTGATGCAGCAGCAGAGGCAGACGCTGCCAGAAACAGAGCAGCTGTCCCCGTTACAAGCAGATCCGTTCCAAGCAGGAGAGCAAAGAGCCACGTGGCATTGAAGGGAGCACAGAGTGCTAGAGTAACTCCAAAAACGAGGGACAGAGTGCCGGCTGCTGCTGTGATGAGTGAGGAGGAGGGAGAGGAGGAAGGCGGGTGGGAGGAGGAGAGGGAGTGTGCAAAGGACAGCTTGCTCACACCCTGAGACATGTTTAACAAGGTAGGTGGGACACGAGGGAAGGGAAGAAAGTGGGGGTTGAAAGGGGGGAAAAGGGAAGAAGAGAAGGTGTGAGAAAGGGTTATTTGTGGGCCAAGGTTGTTCTAGCTGTTATGCCACAGCTGTCATTATGAAGGGCCGATGGGCAGTGAGCAAAGGAGAGGAGTGGTTGGGGAGGGGAGGGGGGCTTGGCTTGAAGGTCCTGGCGGGATTCGGGAGAGTGGTGACGGAATGATGGCACCAGCACATGCGGAGGCGGAGGTGGAGGCGGAGGCGGAGGCGGAGGCTGACGCTGAGGGACGCACCTTGGCCATGAACCAGGCTGCGAGGGCGAGAGTGAGGCCGAGGGCGCCAAAGGAGGGGAAGAGCAGCAGCAGCAGTGCAGTGACGGTGTGGAGGCACGCGAGCAGCAGGAAGAGCGGCGCGCCGGGAGCAGAACGCTGCAGCAGAAACGCTGCTAGTGACGCGAGCCCTCCTATTGCTAGGACAATGGCTGGTGCGATGGAGATGGCAAGGAGGCGAAGGGGAAGGGGGACGGCGTGGGGGGTGGGAGAGGGGAAAGGGGAATGGAGGAGGGGGAAAGGGGGAGGGGGAAAAAGGGGAGGTGGAACAGTTGAGATGGAGAGAGGAAGTTGGAATGTGAAAGGGAACAATGGCAGCTTACATTCTACTGAGAAAGATGGATGCATGGCATGGAATGGAATGGAATGGAATCCATTCATGTGACAACAAAGATTGACAGGTACCACGGTCCTTTAGACTGTCATGCCACATGTAATGAAATGAGACCCTTCTAAATCTCCGAAACCATCACCCTCTCATGACCTTGCGACTGTCATGACAATGTGCTGTCTATTCTGACCGACCCACAGATTCCCCTTCATCTAAACTATCACTGCCACCATTACCACCGGTGTTACCACCATTACCACCGGTGTTACCACCATTACCACCGGTGTTACCACCATTACCACCGGTGTTACCACCATTACCACCGGTGTTACCACCATTACCACCGGTGTTACCACCATTACCACCGGTGTTACCACCAGCACGGCCACCCACGCGCATGAGCAGCACTCGTGCCTCGTGGCTTACCCAGGAGCAGCTCGAGCGTGACTGTGAAGGCCATGGGGAACACGATGGCCGTGACCCCCGCCGTGCATAGCGCTGTGGTGGGAGGGAGGGAGGGAGGGATGGAGCGCGGGAGGGATGGCGGGAGGGAGGGTCGAGGCTGGTCATTATGAAGTGAGCATGAAAATACTTGGGAGCGAACATGCGAGGAGAGGAAGGGAGAGGCAGAACGGCAGAGATAAGTGTTGACGATTCGCGGAGAGAGATGGAAGAGCAGAGAGCGCGGGGGGGGACGGTGCGGGGATGGGGGGGAAGCGGGGGTGAGGGGGTTGGGGAGGTGCAGGGGGGCGTGGAGGGTTGTGGGTGGGGAATAGAGGAGGAGTGGGGTGGGAGAAGTGGGGAAAGGCACAACGAGATCCGACCACAAGCAGAATGAGAATGCAACAATAACCACTCCCCCTTCCATAATGCAACAGAATGAGACCCATACCCACTCCCCCTCCATCCGCTGCAAACCACCGTCCCCACGCATATCGTCCCCTTGCATAACCCCCCCCAACACCTCCCCCCCCATCCTCCCACATACCGCCTCCCCCTCCCTGTACCGCCCGAAACCATCCCCCCCTCTCGCCCCCTCTCCCCCAACTTCCCCCCTCCTCCCCCAAACCACGCCCACTCATACCGCATCCGTAGATGGCCGTGTGCATGTACGGGTAGCGCCGCGATCCTGCCGGCAGCTGCTGCGGAAGTGCTTGTAACGAAGGCGCATGTAACGCGGCGGCTTGCGCGGATGACCCCCATGCGCCCGCCGCCACCGCCGACGCTCCGCCTCTCAGCGGAGCCCCGAAGATCGCCGCGGGACCCATTGTTACCGCCGCCTCCTCTTCCGCAGCGCGCCGAGCGGAGGCGCTTCCGCCCGCCAGTCTTTCTCCGCCCAGCGCCGTTCCGCCAGCTCCGCCTGCTCCTCCGGGGTTCCTTCCGCCGTCCCCCGCACTCGCGCCCCCAGCGCAGCCGTCCCTACCGTCGCCTTTAGCCGCGCCGCTGCTTGCGCCTGCTTCAGCGCGTCTCCCCGGAGCGACTCCGCCGACTCCCCCGCGGCCCTCCCCCGCCACCGCGGACGCCATGATCGTTTCCCCCAAGGGGGAGAGGACGGCGGATGATAGAAACGAGCGCGCGGCTTCCGCAATGGAGTTGGGGAGGAAGGGGGAAGCGAGTGGCGGGGAGGTGGCGGGGGAGCAGGCGGAAAGGGAATACGTCGGCGGAGATCGAGCGGAACGGGGGGAGTAAGGGGACCGCGGGGAATGGGGGGAGTTGAAGTGCGGGGAGGGGAAGACCGCGGGCGCGGCGGATGGGATGGGCGGAGGTTGCTCGTGTGGGGGAAGATATGGCGGAGCGCGGGGAGGGGAGATGTACGGCGATGGATAAGCGGAAGAGAATGGATGCTTCGTGTAAGGAGGGGAGACATGGCCTGTAACAGTTATCGGCACCAGCGGATATCCTCGTAACGGAGCGATTGGTGGTTCCGATCGAGCTGCTAAGGCCGCCATTTTTCAGAAAAGCGGTTAGGAAATGCTGGCGATAGATGTGCAGAAAAGAGGAGATATTTTCACGCTAGGCTTGTAAACGAGAGTTTTGCTCAAAACCGCGGAGTCGCGATTTGTTTTATTATCGTCACGTGGCATGCATATGATCGCGGGAACCGCGATCTGTTTTATTGTTGCCACAAATTTCTAAGAGAAATCTAGTGGGTCACATGTACCACCCTGCCCACGGGCAAAAATAAAACCCTACATGAATGGCATGTGTTATAGATGCATCAACCCTAAACACCTAGAGGCAAGGTATTTAGGGTTGATGCCTCCCTAACGCATGCCAGGCCCGAATGGGTTTAATTTTTTCCCGCGGGCAGCTCATTGCAAAACTTAACTAAATTTCTGTTGAACTTGTGGCAACAATAAATCAGATCGCGGTTTTGGCGATTGAAGGTATGCCACGTGGCGATAATAAAACGAACCGCGATTCCGCGGGATTAAGCAAAATTTCGCGCTGGCGACATAGCGTGATTTCCATGCATGAGCGGGTGATGCCTTGTGACTGGGAAGAATAGAGTGTTCTGGAGGGTCTAGTGTTCTCATTTCCTCGGTTCAGTACGCTAGAAAATGGTCCTGTGAATTTCTTGAGCTTTACCGCTTGAACCGTACAGAAGCCCCAGACTACGGGAGCCCCACCCCATTCGCCCCACCGCACCCCCCCGCCACGTGCTGCGTGCTGCAGCAACCTCGAGATTTCTGCTTCGAATTTGCGCTCTCCAGATGCGCCTCAGGGAATGCCCCATAAAGACAACCACACTGGAATGAGGAACATTACACGCATACAATTAGGCGAGTTTCATGTGCGTTATAGATTTATAGATTTTTTTTCATTAAGTTTACACATTTTTCCTCTCCACATTAAGTTTAATTATAGATTTCTTGGAGAATGAATTGATCATATCCCAGCTGCGGTCAGTTCGATTTTCGGGCAAAGAAGAAAGAATCTGCCGTTTTTCCCCCAAGCCAATTGGCGCTCGCCGCAGAAATCTGCCCGAGCCGAGCCACGTCATTCCACGAATTCGAACAGACAGCAGTGCAGAAAACTTGCTTCGGAAGCCTCTGTTGTCGGGCCTCGACCAGGAGCTTTGGTCCGGAGCAAAACATCTGAACGCATTATAGCGGGACGGATCTTGTTACTGGTGCTGCACATAGAAACATATGTTAAAGTTACTGTATAACATTTACAGTTTGTACTGTCAAACTGGTTCTCCCCATAAGTGTAGTGGCGCATAGCATTGCTAGCATCTTTGGCCTGGTTTTTGGCGACACGAGGCGCTATACTTGAAGACTCATAGGAAAACAGCAATCGGCCGCTAATAAGCGACGCCACTTCTCTTCGCGACCTTGAGAATAACATCCTCAGAAAAAGGCGCGCACATATTAGTAACTAACGAATCTCATGGCTGAGGTAACGGCGAAACCGGCTGCAGAGCCCGTCGTTTCCGGAGGATTAGAAGAGGAAGAGGACGATGACTGGGAGTCCACGTGGGAAGACCACGTCGACAAGCTCGCTTCCACGTCACTATCTGCCATGTCACTAGCTCCAGCTCAAGCCACGTCATCGTCGCGTGACACTACTTCCTCACATCCTGGCGACAGGAAAACTACAGCACCGTCGTCGAAGCTTCGCCCTGACGCTTCGTCTCAACCATCCAGCTCAAATGGAAGGGTTTCCGGCGGCGGCGGAAGCGGCGGAAAATACGGGTCTGGCGGAAAAAGCGGAGCGGGCGGAAGTAGCGGCGGTAGCCGGGGGGCCGCTGGGGGGGCTGGCGGTGCTCCCGCTGGCGGAGCTACACGGCAGAAGGGTCGCGGAAGGTTCAGTTTCGGTCAGCGCGGGCGCATGTACAGTGACGAGGCAGGCAGCGAGGAGTCTGAGGATTCGGATGATGGTTCCGAAAAAGAGGAGGAAATCATTGTCTATAAAGGGACCAACAATAACGCGTTTCCGGTTGGAAGTAGCAGAAACATCAGCAACAGCAACAGCAGCAGCAATAAGAGCAGCAGCAGGAAAGAGACGGTGGGGGTAGAAGCAAAGAGAGAGGCGGCGACTAAAGCAGCAGCAGGAGGGAAGCAATGGACGAAAGAGGCCAAGAGTGGTGCGATCGTCGGGAAAGGGAGCCATGGCCGTTCTGCTGCTGCTGCTGCTGCTGCTGCTGCTGCTGCTGCTGCTGCTGCTACTGCTGCTGCTGCTGCTGCTGCTGCTGCTTCTACCACTACTGCTGGTCTTGGTGGTGCTGCTGTTGGTGTTGCTGGTTCTGGTGTTGGTGATAACGTTATAGCAGCTCCCTCTGCTGCTGCTGATGTGCCGTACCCCACTCGGGCCTCCTGGGCAGATGCTACAGGCGGTGGTATCACTTCTCCCACAGCCACTGCTGGTGCTGCTACACCTGCCGCACCTGCCACTCCTGCTGCCGCTGCTCCTGCTGCTAATGCCGCTGCTGCAGTTGGTGATGGTGCTGCTGCTGCTGCTGGTGGTGGTGCTGCTGGTGCTGGTGGTGCAGCTGCGGCGACTGGTGGTGGTGCTGCTGATGGTAGTAGTCTCGTGGCAGTCAGCAGCAGCGACAGGCCGACCAAGTACAGTGAATTAAGCAGCCGGATAAGCAGCACCAGCAGCACCAGCACCAGCAGCAGCAGCAGCTGCAGGCGAGCGGGCGTGGGAAGCGAGGCCACGCGTGGAGCCCCGGACAGCAGGGAGGCGGGGGAGGGGATGAGGTGGGAGCGGAGAGGAGAGCAGGGAGAAGTGCAGGCGGAGAGGAGGATTGGAGAGCCAAGGGGCGGAGAGCCATACGAGTGGCCAAGCGGCAGGGGTGAAGGGAGGAGGGGTGGAGCGGAGGGGGGTGATGTTGGGGAGGGGGGTTGGAATGGGGAGGATCTTGCAACAGGTGCGCTTGTGGGATGGAGTGCGGTGGGGTGGGGTGGGGTGGGGTGGGATAGGATGGGATGGGATGGGATGGGATGGGATGGGATGGGATGTCTAAAAGATGCACATCGTCGTGCTTGTGTAACCATTTTATGGCATGTTGGTGAGTGAGTGAGTGAGTGAGATGTACGTTGCTCATTTCACGCTTTTCTTTGTTTTCAAAACCAGCCTCCGCACCTGCCTTGCCATCGGTTAGCCATCCCCCCCGCTCCCGCTCCCCTCTCCCTCTTCCCTTCTCCCGCCTCCTTTCGGCACTTTGCTCTCTCTCCCCTCTCCCCTTCCCCGTTTCTACTCCCCCTTCCTCCCTTGCCGCCTTGCTCCACTACCCCACTGATGCCCACTTTCCGCTCTTGTTTCTCCCCCCCTTATTCTTCCTTCCTCCTCTCCGCCCCTCCTCCCCTCGTCCCTTCCTCCCCTCCTTTCGTCCTACCCTCCTCCTTTCCTTCCCTCGCTTCCAACCCTCCTCCCCTCTTCCCTTCCTTCCCACCTACCCCCTCCCCCCCTCCCCTCCGCTCAGTCCCCTACGGTGGCCGGCACGTGCTAGAGGTGCTAGGTCTCTCTGATGACGTGGCAACTGCTGACGTGGAGGCAGTTATCCACAACCTTGTCGTGGAAGCCACGTGCATGGATGCTACTGGCAGATCTGAGGCCGACTCCAGCTGCAGCAGCAGCTCTGCAAGCTCTGCGAACACTGCAAACACTGCGAGCAGCACTCCGTTTGTGGTTCGGTGGATAAATGACTCACATGCTCTTGCTGTCTTCCTCACTCCTGCTCTTGGTATGCCGGCGGAGCAGCATTACCATCACCATGGGCGTGGGCATGGGTGTGGGTGTGGGCATGGGCATGGATAGGGGCAGGGGCAGGGGCAGGGGCGTGGGCGTGGGCATGGGCATGGGCATGGGTATAAGCATGAGCTCATGAGCATGAGCATGGGCATGGGCATGGGTATCAGCATGAGCATGAGCATCACTATATCACCATTCCCTTCTATCCTTGATCCACTGTGCTAAGAATTCACCCGTCACATTTTCCAGTCCCTCTTCCTTACCATCCCATGCTACGTCTCATACCCTCTAGACCTTAACACCACCACCCCCCTCCCGCCCTCCCTCCTCCCTTCTTTCTACCTTCCCCAACTACCCCTCCGGCAATGAAGTTGTTTTCTTCCCTCCCACTTTCCCCCCACCTCTCCTGGCCTTCTTCTGCCTCACACACCCCTTCCCCCTCTCCCCTTTCTCCCGCCCTTTTCCCCCTTCCTCCGCCCTCTCCTCCGCCCTCCAGCGTCTTCGGTGCTATCAGCAGCAACAGCAGCACTGGCAGGCTCCGCTTCTCCGCCCTTCCATTTCCGTCCTCTAGACACTACCTCGGAACACTACCCTTTCATCCGCCGCCGAGGTGAGTGAAACGCTCGCCACACTGCTCTGCTCTCACTGCTCTTCATTTTCTGCATTGCTCGCTGCCTCTCCGCTCCGCCCTTCCACTTCCGCCCTCTAGACACTGCCTCGCAGCACTACACCCTTTCATCCGCCACCGAGGTGAGTGAAACTCTGTGACTCGAGCACTACACCCGACTTCCCCCCTCCCAAGACTCATTGCTTCTGCACTCACCGTGCTGCTCTTTGCACTCTGCTCTCGGCTCTCTCGCCACTGCTCTCTGCTCTCTGCCGGTCGTAGGCAGATCCTTGACACAAAAAATAAGAAGGCCCATTGCTTCTGCTCTCTCTGATCTGCACTCTGCTCTTCCTCCTCTCCCCCTTTCCATTTCCGCCCTCTGCCGCATGTCTGTTTCTCACCCACACTCTCCTCATCTGTTGATCTTTCTGCATCCCTCCCATTCACTAAAAAATTCCCAAGCTCCCATCTCTGCCCTTCCCCACCAACATCTCACCCTCGACTACTCACCATCCCCCTCTCCCCTCTCCCCTCACCCCTCTCCCCTCTCCCCTCACCCCTCTCCCCTCTCCCCTCTCCCCTCTCCCCTCTCCCCTGCCCCCTCCTTCCTCCACCCTTCTCTCCTCCCGCCCTCCCACCCACCTCTCGTTGTTCCCTACTCTCGCTTCCCCCAGATCTAGAACCCCCCGTTCCTCGCCCTGCCACGTCTGTTCGGGCAGCGCAAAGAATGATTGCTGGGGCACTCGCAGCAACCAATCAGAACGCAGCGCTGGCAATCCGGGCAGCAGCAGCAGCGGCAGCAGCAGGAGCGGGTGGGCAGGGCGGGGAAAAAAGGATGGAGGCGGAGAGGAGGATGAGACTGGAGGAGCGGAGACGACTCAAGGATGAGGCATGGGGGGACGACTGAAAGGTGGCAGGGACTCTTGAATGTGTTTGGGAGGGGTTCCTCTTTCCCATGCGCAGGATAGTTTTGAGACGTCTCAAAGGACGAGGCATGGGGGAACGACTGAAAGGACGACTGAGAGGTGGCAGGGACTCTTGAGTGGTTCTTCTTGTTTGGGAGGGGTTCTTCTTTCCATTGCGCAGGAAAGAACAGAGATGGAAGAGGAGTGGGCGGCAGAGTGCAGGAGCAGGAGCAGCAGCAGAAAATGAGTTATATTATGAGCTGGTTTGATCCAGGTCAGACTGAAACAAGGCAAGTATCGGATCAGATCGTTGACTGGTCGACTGAACTGCACTGCAACGCACCGCACCCCACAGCACTGCACCCTGACTGTACCCCGCACAGCGCCAAGTGTGGCGCGGGCTCTTTTGATGCACCTGGAATGGACTCGATTGTGTTGTGTACTTTGAGGCGCCTCAAAATGCACCACACAGCGCCAAGTGTGGCTCAGCACGGCCTCTTTTGATGCGCCTGGAATGGACTCCATTGTGTTGTGTGAGATGAAGGAGCATGGTGGAATGGCTGATGGGGGAAAGGCAAGGGTGGGAAAGGCAAGGAGCAGGAATGAGGATGGAGGTAGAAAGGAGAGAAGAGGAGTGGGACAGCGCAGGGAGAGCACGCTCCGGCATGGCATGGCATGGCATCATGCACATTCACCATATGTTGGTGGAAGTGGACAGTTGCTAATTCCTGTGGTTCTCATGGTAGGTACATTCACGTCAGATCCTTGACATTAGGTGGTCAGGGTGTTTGATTGAGTACCCAAACTCCTGCTGGCTTTAAGCCTGGTAGACATTCTGTGTCGGTAATGTTTTTTTTGAGAATTCTCATAAAGGTAGACATTCTGTATTGGTAATATAATGCCATGCAAGCCGCATGGCATGAGCAAATCTACTACCGTGCCTACCACCTGACCTGACGCCAAATCTCCAATGCCGGCAATCCATTTCAATCACTACCACGTTCCCTATGCACTGCCAGAGCTCTCAATTGCTACCATACCTAAGATATAGATACAGTATACCAGTAAGACCACTCTCAACCGAACAATGTCAACAAGCCTTGCGGCACCAGCTACTAATGGCAGTGCTTTTTCCTCCTGCCTTCACAGTTTTTTTCACACCTACTCTGCTGCGACTAGTGTGGTGAATTCAATAGACCAGCTCGAGACTTGGTTCAAGAAGACCTGAATGCGTGTGTGTCGTGAGATATTGAGACGTCTCAAATGGGTGGTGGTGGCTGGAGCGGGAGTCACTGTGAAGACGTGAGAGCTGTGGGTGTGTTTGTTCTGAGACGGCACGAGCACAAGATGGCGGCGCGCGTGCGTGCGTGCGTGGTGATGGTGAATGGCCAAGAGGAGGCAGGTGATTCATACTGGCAGCCCAAACGCCGCAAGGGATGGATGGCCCAAATGACCCACACCCCAATTGGGCTGGCACTGTCCCAGCATGACCTTTGAGTCGATTCAAGAGTCAAGATGGAGGGACCTCAGGAGGAGGGTGATCCAAAGTAGGCCTCAAGGGATGGCACTGAGACAACGTTGGCTGCCACTGCCCCCGTGGCTGCTGGCGTGATGTGTAAAATGTACTTCACAAACCGCTGGTGGGGGTGGGGGTGGGGGTGGGGGTGGGGATGGGGGTGGGAGTGGGGGTGGGGGTTGGGGTGGGGGGGGAAAGGGGGGAGGAAGAAAGGGCTTTTAAAGAGTTCCAGAACATGGCTGCTGGAGTGATGTGTAGAATGTACTTCACAAACTGCTGGTGCGGGTGCGGGTGGGGGGAGGGGAAGGGTGGAGAAGCGAAACGGGTGGAAGAGAGAGAAGGGTTTTTGAGGCGCCTCAGAAGTTTGGCTGCTGGCGTGATGTAGAGAATGTAGTTACAACCTAAGGTGATTAGCTTAAGGTGCTGATTATGGGATCACCGACCCTCCCCTTGCACTCGTATAACCCTACGCTGCCCCCTTGTTCCATCTCTACGCTGCCCCCTTGTTCAACCCTTCTCATCTCGTCTGAGTTCTACACCTGTGCTGAACCTCCCTCTCATGACTCACCCTGAGCTGCTCCACCGTGCTATCAAACGCACGCTTCAAAGTGCCAGTCTGGCTCGAGCTAGCTTGCTTGCTCCCAACGCACACGGAATGCTCACGGAATGCTCACGGACACTAAACCCTAAACGCTCCCCCCCACAACTCACCCTGAGCTGCTCCACCGTGCTGTCAAACGCCTCAAAGTGCCAGTCTGGCTCGAGTTGTCGCACAAATGATGATACTCCAACGTCCTTCTCACAGAACAGCACCTGGTGGCGTGCAGTGGGAAACAGAGGGGTTCGGATGGGTTGAGTTGAGTTGAAAGAGGGAGAGGCACGCTTGAGACGGATCAAAACCAGCTGCCGCACAAACGACGCCACTCCAACGTCCTTCTCACAGAACAGCACCTGGTGGCGTGACGTGGGAGGTCAGAGCGAGCAAGGAGGTGTAATGCGAAACATTGGGGTTGGGTTGGGTTGGGTGGGATTGGGCTGGAAGAGGGAGAGGCATGTTTGAGGTATTTCAAAACCAGCTGCTAAACTAACGACACATCACACCGCATCACACCACACTGCATCACAGCGCATCCCACCGCATCACATCACACTGCATCACAGCGCATCACAGCGCATCACATCACCCAGCAACACATCAGGCAAACACCTTGATCGTACCTTGTCTCGGTTGATGGGCCCTGGGGAGCCATCTGGGAGCGAGAAGAGAATGGAAATTTACCTCACACATCACATTGCATCCCATCCCATCCCATCCCATCCCACCACACCCCAACGATACCTCAGGCAAGCCCCTTGTTGCTGCACCGTACCTTGTCTCGATTGATAGGCCCTGGGGAGCCATCTGGGAGCGAGAAGAGACTAGCCTCCTCTAGTGCTGACAGGATGGTGGCCTGTACGGGGGGAGGGAGATGGGAAGGGGGGAGGAGGAAGGAGATGGGGAGGTGGAGCGAGAAGAGACTGGCGTCCTCTAGCGCTGACAGGATGGTGGCCTGTACGGGGGGAGGGAGATGGGAAGGGGGGAGGAGGAAGGAGATGGGGAGGTGGAGCGAGAAGAGATTGGCGTCCTCTAGCGCTGACAGGATGGTGGCCTGTAGTGGGGGGGGCGAGGGGGGGAAGGGAGCGGAAGGAGAAAAAAGAACAGGGATGGGAGGGAGATGCGAAGGGGAAGGGTGAGTTGTCTGGGAGGGCGAAGAGACTGGCGTCCTCCAGTGCTGACAGGATGGTGACCTGTATGGGGGGGAGGGAGGATGAGGAAGGAGATGGGAGAGGAAGGAGAAGAGGAACCAGAGGAAGAGGTGGACGAGGGGGAGGGGAGGAGAAGGGAGTGAGTGGAAAGGAGGACAAGAGGAGAGAAGAGATGATTGCGAGCGGAGAGAGATAAAATGGCAGGCACATGAGTGAAGGAGGAGAGGATAATGATGAGGTGATTGGCGAAACAAGGCAACACATAAGGGGCAGCAGGCAGCAGGCAGCAGGCAGCAGGCAGCAGGCAGCAGGCAGCAGGCAGCAGGCAGCAGCGCAACTCTCGCCCCTCAACGTCTTGAACGTGTGCTCTGAGGTATCATATCTTCCAATGGGGATGGCCAGAGGAGGGCAGAGAGTAGGCGCGCAGGCAGGCAAGTCAGCGGGTAGGCAAGGTAGCATGCAGGCATACCTCTGCAGCGAGGCAAGGCAGCAAGCATGCAAGGCAGGGTGAACGCACCTCGCTCTCACCGCTGTGAACCTATGCCATGAGGTACACGCCATATACATATTGGCCTGCCTCGCCACCTCCTACACTATCGGCAGCTTAAGTTGCACGGGAACAGGCAGAGCAGCAAGGTAGCAAAGAAGGCAGGAACACACACTGCACGAACCTCGCTCTCGTCGTTGTGCACTTGTGCCATGAGGTACACATCGGCCTGCCTCGCCACCTCTCGCACTATCTCCGCTGCTCCACTCCGCAACGACGCCCCCGACTGAGAGCGAGAGAGAGGAACAGAGAGGGCGAGAGAGAGGAGGGGGAGAGTGGAGCGGACGAAGGGAGGGCGAGAGCAGAGGGTGAGGTGAGGGGGAGAGAGGTGGGGAAGACGAGAGGGCGAGCGAGAAAGGCGGCCGTGAGGAGTTATGGGGAATGAGTGGACTGTGCGTTGTGATGGTTGAGATGGTAAGAGGGGGAAGAACTTTGATTGAAATGACTAGGGTCCTTGATTGAGAACTTTGATTAAAAGGAGTGCTGGGAGAAAAGTAGAGAGTGGAAGAAAAGGAGTCCTACGAAGAATGTAAAGAATCCTATGAGAAAATCAGGAGGCGAGAGGGGAAGGCGAGATGGGAGAGGAAAGAAGAAGGGAGAAAGTGGGAGGGGGAGTGGGGCCCGGGAGGAGGGCGGATGAGAGGGGTGGTGGGAGATGAGTAGACCACGGGTGGTAGTGATGGGTGAGGGGTTGGGCGAGCGGGACATGCAAAACGTGAGAGGGGGGAAGGGCGGTGATGCGAAGGGCAGAAGACCGTGGGATGATGAGAGGAGGGCGGATTATAGGGGTGGTGGGAGATGATGGGTGAGGGGTAGGGCGAGGGGTTTTTGAGAATTCTCAAAAATCGCTCATAGGGGTGGTGGGAGATGATGGGTGAGGGGTAGGGCGAGGGGGGCAGCGAAAGGTGAGGGGAGCAAAGGACCACGGGGTAATGTGCATGTGTGTGTGGATATGTGTGTATGCGAATGCATTACTTGCAGCTCTTCTGGTGTTGATTGGTTTAGCACCACTCCGAGCATCTGAATCGTGACCTGCCGAAGCGATAGGCACGGGAGCAGAGGGAGGGAGTGGGGGCGAGGAAGAGGGGAGGGGTTGCGTGCGTGTGTGAGTCAGAGAGAGAGAGAGAGAGAGAGAGAGAGAGAGAGAGAGAGAGAGAGAGAGAGAGAGAGAGAGAGAGAGAGAGAGAGAGAGAGAGAGAGAGAGAGAGAGAGACAGAAACAAGACCACGCCTAACATCTAAATCGTGACTTGCAGGGACGAGAGGCACAAGGGGGGGTGGGAGTGAGTGGGGGAGAGGGTGACTGGGACGAGGTCAGAGGGAGTGTGTGTGTCAGAGAGAGAGGAAGAGAGAGAAAAGATTGCAGGGGCGACGGGAAGAGTGGGGGGCGCTTGTACAAGAGAGAAACGAGATTGCAAAAGAGGTGACTTTTGAGTCGGCTCAAAAGTCACCTCGTTCGAAGGGAAGAGTGGGGGCACTTGTCCAAGAGAGAAACGAGATTGCAAATGCCAAGAACGTTGCGCATGGACCAACGAAGATGCAAGGAGGAAGGAAGAAAGGAGATGGGTGTGGGGGAGTGGGAGAGGGAGAGGGGGAGGGATGGGAAACGGGTACGGAAGTTGCTTTTACGTGTACAATAAAACAACGTGACCCTTGACCATCTCTTTCATGCCAATCTCCCCGTCACCCTCCCCCACTCCCTCCACCCCCCCCCTCCTCCCCTCCCCCTCCCCCTCTCCTCTTCCCCCCATCCTTCCTCCATCCTCCCCAGCCCCCTGCACTCACTCTCTTGCCGCCATTAAGCTGCTGCCGCACTGTGAGCGCCAGACGCGACTGCACAGGGAGTGAGGGGGATGGGGAGGGGGAGAGAAGAGGAGGGGAGGGGGGGCGGGGAAGGAGGGGGGGAGGGGGAGGGGGAGGGGGAGGGGGAGGGGGAGGGGGAGGAAGAGGGTTGGGCAAGGGGAAATCGGGGGAGGAGGAGGGGGAATGGGAGGGTGATGGAAGAGGGAGGGATGGAATGCAGTTCGGGTTTTTTACACTCAACAATTCGGGGTGTGAATCAGCAGCACCCCTGCAACGATTACACCAGCTACAGGCCACAGCCCAGGCGCTGACCGAGCCTACAGACAAGGCTAGGGACGAGCCTACAAACAAAGCTAGGGCCGAACCTGGGGCACGTCTTCTTGCCGAACCAGCTCTTTTCTCAAGCCGCCCCTCGTTCCTCCATTCCCTTCCGCCTCCGCGAACGCTCCCCCTCCCGCGGATCTCCCCGCGCCTCTTTGCTGCGCCTGGCTGATCCCCGCGGACGCGCCAGTCGCGCGCGCAACCTCCCCCGCTCCGCGTCCGCCCGCGCCTGCTGTTCCGGAGGGCCCCGCCTCGTCGCGTTTGCGCGCGCCGGCGGCGGACGGGGGAGGCGGCGAGCGCGCGTGCGGAGGGCGCGCGGAGCGGGGGCCCCGCGGGCGGGAGAAGCGCCAGGCGATGAGTAGGGCGAGCGCGAACCCCGCAATTGCGCCCATCGTCGTTGCGCGCTGCGGGGTGCGCGCGGAAAGAAGGCGGTAACAGGAAAAATGGCGGGTGGGGAGAGAGGGGGGGAAAAAGGGGGAGGAGGAGGGCAGGGGAGAGAGGAGAGAGAACGGGAGGGGGTGGATGGGGGTAGGAAGGTGTGCAGTGTGGGATCGAGGGGGGGCGGGGAGGAGGAGGGGGGAGGGGGGTTGTGGGGAAGCGGGGAGAGGGACCGGGAAGGGGGTTGGCAGGATGAGGGTTGGGTTTGAGGTCATCAGATTGATTGAGAAGGAAAAGAAGTTGAAGACGGACGGGCAGGCATCGGAGGGAAATGGAGAGGGATCAGGTAGCGCGAGCAGGCAGTGAGAAAAACGAGTTCGAACGTGGAGCGACGACAGGCGCGACGGCCGCCAAGGGCGAGAAAAAGAAGGGGGGGGAGGGGGGGAGAGGGGGGAGGGAGGGTGGAGGGTTGCGGGGGAGGCAGCGGCAAAAGAGGAAGCACGAGGCAGCGCTGATGACGGTTGCTCGCCCACTCAGGAAACAGACAGGCCCAACCCTTCTCAACCCCTCACCCACCCCCCTCAACCCCTCACCCACCCCCTCACCTCCTCACCCACTCACTTCCTCACGCACTATCGGCTAGGACAGGTCAGGTCAGGCCCGCACTTGCCCCATGCAACCTAGATTTGACTCCGCGCGGACTGAAAAGGTTTCTAGTAGGAAGCCTTACGGTTAGATAATCTATAGGCATAGGGAGTCTAGATCCGACGGATAGATAGCGCATCGATGGACTATGATGCCAGATTTAGTCGCCGACTCGAATCGCACTGGAGTCCTAGTGGTCCATACGCGTTATAGGCTTGACGCACTCACATCGAGGGCGCGAATGGCTTGCACGACTTGTAATAGCCTCGGCGAAAGCGAAGAACCTAGGCGCTGTAACCACGCCATCAGCGCGTCAATCGGCGACGATCCCATGACTCTCGTAGCGGCGCGAAGATGAGGAGGAGCGGGAGGAGGATGAGGAGGGGGACGAGGATGAGGAGGAGGAGGAGGATGAGGAGGAGGAGGAGGAGGATGAGGAGGAGGAGGAGGAGGAGGAGGAGGAGGCGCGAATCGCAGAAGCGGATAAGAAGTCAACTGCGAACCGCGCAATGGCGGAGGAGGACGGCAGGGCCGGCAGGGGATGGGGAAAAAAGGCGATGTCGCGAAGGAATGAGCGTTGCTTTGTTCGAGAACAATGCTTCGCCGATTGGAGATTTCGCACGGTTTCGTACTGCAGGAGAGTTTCGCGTGTAACGTTTCGAGCACGAGACTGTCCAGACGAAGTGAAAACAAAGCTGGTCAGCCCGGTAGCAAGCGGCTAGGTACGGTAAAGGACGAGGACGAGGAAAGGACGGCGGGAAACTGGATCGAGTAGTTTTCCTACCTTTAACACCCAATTACCCAACCATAGTCGCCATTAATCGCCGATCCATGAGCATGATCGGCGGAAGTTACGCTTTGAGGAAGGAGCGTTATGAATGAGGCTCGGATTGATGGGTGACGTATGTGCGAGGCATGTCGGTGGGAGAACAAGGACAGCCAGAAAGACCACAAAAACCGAACCAAACCGAACTGAAAGTCGTATGATTTAAATCGAGCCACTTTGGCTTGGGAAGGAAGACAATCACTTCCTGGGGCTCCACACGACAGTGGTGTACGACGGTTCAGTACGGTTGAATCGAAAGTCCTTCACCGCATTGAACTGCTTTTCACCTGTTACAAATACTGACACTACGGCAGGGCAGGGAATGTGCGGTACAGTGAGTTCGGGGGGTTTTCCCTTCTCACACCATTCACCATGTGCTGATAGTGAACATTTGTTATTTGTCAGTGATTGTACATTGTAACAGAACCGTCTCTTGCGATTCTTCGATTACTTTCTCGAAGCTTCAACGGGATATTGCACGGGTGAGCTGAATTTCTCTTCGAGATAGTTCTAACGGTGAATTTTTCCCCGTTCATCTGTGCCAGTCCGCGCTCGCGTGTCGCTCGCTCGTCGCCGGCGCGTCGATTATTTGCCGCCTCCGTCGCCCGTCCGTCAGCCCCGATGCTCTCGCGAATCGCGTCGAGTCTGCGGCAGAGCGTGCAGCGGCTGACACGTGGCGGGGGACCCGCGGTTTTGGCGGGAACGGACGACGCGGGAAATAAGTATTACTATCAACCAGCCGATGAGTCGCAGTCGCGATCTAACGGTGTGTGTCACACTGAATGTGTGTGTGGGGGGGGGAGGGAGAGGAGAGAGGAGAGAGGAGAGAGGAGAGAGGAGAGAGGAGAGAGGAGAGAGGAGAGAGGAGAGGAGGGGGAGAGGAGAGGAGAGGAGGGGAGAGGAGAGGAGAGGAGAGGAGAGGAGAGGAGAGGAGAGGAGAGGAGGGAGGAGAGGAGAGGAGAGGAGAGGAGAGGAGAGGAGAGGAGGAGAGGGGGAGAGTGGCGAACGGGGGACACGGGGCCGCATGGCTTGGGAAAAGGTGTGTTCCGTGGGTAACTGCGAAGTTGTGTGCGGACAAGGAGAAGGGGGGGGGTGTTGGGAAGTGTGTGTGAGAGGGTGGGGGTGAGGTGTGTTTGTGTGTGCGTGCATATATGTGTGTGTGTGTGCGCGCGCGCGTGCTCTCTCCCTCCCTCCCTCCCTCCCTCCCTCCCTCCCTCCCTCCCTCCCTCCCTCCCTCCCTCCTTCAGCACCCTCCCCCTCTCGCCTCGTTCTCAGCTTTCTCTACTTCATCTTGTTCGTCCGCTTTATTGGGTTTCACAAGCCGTGCGGCCCTTTCCGCTTTTCCCGATCGTCCGCTCTCCTCTCTCTCGCCTCGCCCTCCCTCCATCGTTCTTACAGCCCTCTAGTCCCGTCTTCCCTCACTCTCCCTCACCCTCCCCTCATTCTTCCTCACTCTTCCCTCACTCTCTCCCACTGCTCCCAACACTCTCTCCCACTCTCTCCCACTCTCGCCCCTCATTCTCTGCCTCTCCCCCTCTCTCCCCCCTCTCCTCCCCCCGTCTGTCTGTGAGCAGCAGCAGCGGGGGAGAGGCGGTGGGTGGAGTGCAGGAGAGGGGCGGACCCAACCAAGCTGCCAGGTGGGTGTGGGCTCAGCACTGTGCCTTTTCACTTCACTCACTTGTCAGTGGGGTGGCTGTCGAGTTTGCTCACTCGTGCATGCATCAGAGATTAGTCAAAGGGAAAGTGTGCTTTTCACCCACCCACTGTTTTGGAAGCCCTGTCACTTACGTCACCACTTGCTTTCTCTTTGCCTGTCTGATTGCGCTTCCCCTGTACTCTGCCGTCTGTATTTTCTCCGTCCCTTGTCTTCCGCTCCCTTCTCTTCCGCTCCCTTCTGTTCAACTCCCCATCTCATCTGCTCCCCTTGTGTTCTGCTCCCCTGCGCCCATTGTTGCTCTGATACCAGTGGAATGGGCCAGCTGGCTCTCCCGCTCCCGCCTCCATGCCCCCACACCTGATGTACGTGCCATGCCATGCCATGCCATGCCATGCCGTGCCGTGCCGTGCCGTGCCGTGCCGTGCCGTGCCATGCCATGCTGTGCGGTGCCATGCTGTGCCATGCCATGCCACGCCACACCACGCCATGCCATGCCATGCCATGCCATGCCATGCCATGCCATGCCATGCCATGCCATGCCATGCCCCCATGCCTGATGCATGTGCCTTGCACCCTCCTACACATGTTGCCACTCATCTTACTTTTTGACCGGCGTGCTTGCTGCGTGTGCTTGCCGTGTGTGCGTTGCTGTGCTGTGCTGTCTGCTGTGTGCAGGAAATAGCAGCATTGGCACAGCACCGAGCGATAGTGAAGCAACGAGCAAAGCGTGAGTTCAGGAGCCCGTTACAATGAGGCATATCAAACCAATTTCAAGACTTCTTGTGACAAGTAGCATGTGAACTGGGGTGGATCGATGAGTGAATCCGGGGTGTGCTGCTGTGGCACTTTTTACAAGTTCCAGCCAGCTTGCATGTTTCCGAATTGTTGTTGTGGTGAGCTGCTGTGGACTTGTTTTCTTGTTCAGTCAAGAGCGCATGGGTTGGGCATCAGGGTTTGAGGTGCCTCATAAAGAGATTCAGTCAAGGGCGTCAGGGTGAAGGGTTGGATGGGAAAGAGAGTACCAAGAAGCCTTGTGCGTGCGTGCGTGCGTGCGTGCGTGCGTGCGTGCGTGCGTGCGTGTGTGTGTGTGTGTGTGTGCGTGTGTGTGTGTGTGTGCATGCACGTGCGTGTGTGTGTGTGCATGTGTGTGTGTGTGTGTGCGTGCACGTGCGTGTGTGTGTGTGCATGTGTGTGTGTGTGTGCGTGCACGTGCGTGTGTGTGTGTGCATGTGTGTGTGTGTGTGTGTGTGTGTGCATGTGTGTGTGTGTGTGTGTGTGTGTGCGCGCGCGCGCGTGCGTGCACGTGCGTGTGTGTGTGTGTGTGTGTGCGAGGGGGGGAGGGGATGCGTGCGTGGGTGGAATGGGTGCATGTGTGCTAGGGCGTGCAAGTGCGTTTGCGTGATTGTATGGGTGTCCATGTGTACATGGTGTATGCCTGCATGTGTGCATGGGTGAATGTGTACATGGGTGCGTGAGTGCACGTGTGCATGTATGCATGGGTGCATGTATGCATGGGTGCATGTATGCGAGCAGTGTGGGAGCAGGAGGAGGAGCGGCGTCGGTTCAGGGAGAAGAGTCTGCAGCACGACATGCAACGGCACGAGGGTGCAGGTGATACGAGGGTGACGCAAAGAGATGAATTCAAATGAGCTCCAATTACCGTCTTTCTACTGATGATATTCACGTCGACTTCCTCGTTATACATGCCTTCATTCGGGTTCAGCCCTCCATAATCCACCCTTACACTCCCCCCGCTCTGTCCCCCTCCCCGCCCTGTCCCACTCCCCGTCCTGCCCCACTCCCGGCCCTGCCCCACTCCCCGCCCTGTCCCCCTCCCTCAGAGGACCTAGATGCAGAGGGAGCAGCACGCATGCCCCCACCGCTCACCCCTGCCCTCCACCCCTGCCCGTCCCCCCTCCGCCCCCCCCTCTCCCCCCGCGCCCCCAGAGGACCTAGATGCAGAGGGAGCGGTGCGCATGACCCACCGCCTCTCCCAGGCCATGCTGCACCGCGTGCGCTCCGCCACCCCCCGCCCCCCGCCCGCACCCTCCACGTCCCCTCGTTCCCCCTCCGCCGGCCCCCACCCCGCGCCCTCCACCCCCCCACATGCCTCCGCGCATGAAGCAGGAAGGAGCGGTGCAGGGAGGGAGGGGAATGGGGGTCCGGGGGCAGTAGGGGGGGAGGGAGGTGAGACTGGTGGTGGAGTGGGTGTGGATGCTGGAAAAGGGGTTAGAGGAGGTGGAAGAGGAGGGAGAGAGGGAGCAGCGTCGGAGGGACGGGGGGGAGCATATAAGCCCGAGATGTGGGTACCACCTGGGTCTCAGGGCCAGTCGTGATAACCAGTACCATGGGCTGAGGGGAGAGACTGGCTTGGTTTTAAGGACAAGGAGGAGCATATAAGCCCGAGATGTGGGTACCACGCCACCTCCTCGGTCTCGCGGCCACTCCTGATACCATGGGCTGAGGGGAGATATGCCAGGGTGTAGGATTTGAATGTATGGTGTTGGGGTGGGACGACTGGGTATGTGCATGGCTCGTGCATGGTTGGTATGGTATGGGGTAGTTGTGTACACATCACAACCGGTATCTGTCACGTGTGACGGCCGTTCCATTGTGCGGACTGGCTGGCCTGTATGTGTGTGTGGCCATTTATTCAGAGAGTTCATTGACGGTATCCACAGTCCACGCCAATTCCGCAGGACAACTCTATGTGGATTGCCGTGCTGTGCAGTCACACTGTAGTGTGCTGTGTGCCGAAGGCGCATTCATCTCACCAAATACAAAAAATGAGCATCAATCAGAATACAAGGTAGAGCATTCCATACCGTCCCATCCAAATTACCGGTGCCCATGTACCCACTGGGAACCCCAGCCCCCCATAAGTATTAACCCGCCCGCCCACCTGACAACCTCAACAAAAATATTATTCAAGAACCCTCCAGACAATCCCCTTTCCCCTTTTTCCCCTCTGAAAGATTGCAGTAGCTCCTTTAACCACTGCTCGGCTGAGTCGTGACAGGACCAATCGAAAGGACACCTTGAGCCCTCATTATACCGTACCCCTCGAGAGATGCGAGTTTGCTATCAAGGCACCTTGAACCCCCATTCTGCAGTACCCTCACAGCTCGGCATGACACCCTGCCAGGCCATTTCCGCATCAGAGGAAGCAAGTGCGAAGTGCTGCTGCTGTAGGTCGCACTGAAGAGCATCCGGCGTGCCGGTATACTGGAGGTGCTGCGTTGGAGGATTCTCGAAAGAATCGGCAGTAGCAGCCGCACCCAACGGCGGTGATGCATCGACCGGCGCCTCCTCTTTAGCCTCCTGCTTACAGCCGCCATTGCTGTTGCTGTTGTGATTGGTATGGTTTCCACGCGCTTGCCTGTCCCATTCCGCCCTCAACCGCACCTGCTGCACGTCCCGTTCAGCCTGCAACCGCTCCTGCACTGTCAACACGGTTTCACTCCTAGTGCTGCTGCCAACACTGTCTTTCACCACCTCGAAACTCCCCTCTTCAACCCCATACCCCTCATCATGCCCCTCGCCGTGGCCCCCACCATAACCCCCTCCATAATTCAGCACCGTGTAGCTTCCCTCCTCATCCCTAGCCTCAGCATGCTCCCCACTGTCTGCATTGCTCCCACGATTCCCCCCACCATGCCCATGCTCCCCATACCCCCCACCATGCCCCTCCCAACAGCTTCTCTTGAGGCTGAACGGTTGGTCTGGTCGGTACGAGGTTTGCGAGTGCGCGAGCATGCGCATGCTATGCCGCTGCAGTATCATGCGGTTGTGAGCAAGGGCAGCAGACAGGGCAGAGCGCAGTGACTTGTGAGACGCGCCCGGTTGTGCGCCTGGTGGTGCTGCTGCTCCTGCTTGTGCTCCGTACGCGGTGAGCGTTGACGGGTGGGGAGTAGTGGGGCGAGACAGGGGATGGCAGGAAGCAGCTGTGGGCTGGGAAGAGGCAGGTGAGGGTGAATCAGCATGGGAAGGTTGAGGCGGCGTGAGGCTGTTTTTGGCGTGTGTTGTGGCCATGGCGGCTGCTGAGACTGCTGCTGCAGCAGCAGCAGCAGCAGCAGCAGCAGAAGAATTATAACCAGCTGCAGAGGTATCAGCAGTAGCAGCGGTATTCACAGTCAGAGTAGTCTCAGCAGCGCCATCACCACCACCACCACCACCACCACCACCGTCGCCACCACAGGCACGGACAGATGAGCCAGTATCGCACGGCGTCCCCTCCCCCATCCCCATCACCATATCTATTGGCAAAGCAGGCTCCCATGGAAGATCGTCCCACTGTAAAGCTGAAAACTCCACCACTGCATCTCCAGGCAACATCAGCTGCTGCAAGCCGGCATTGGCGGAATCAGGATGAGGATGAGAATGAGGATTAGGATGAGGGTCATCTCCCGTAGAGGCAAGGTCACTGCCACTAGTAACGGCATTGGCAGCAGGTGCGGTTTCAGTGAGCGATGCAGACGTGCCGGTTGGCTGCTGCTGCTGTTGCTGCTGCTGCTGTTCCGAGCTGCTCAGCTGGCTGTAGCCCATGTTAGGAGAGGGGGTTTCCATATCCACTAGACGCACTAGCTGGACCCACCCCATTGCCACTGGTGTTGGTGCTTGTGCTCCTGTTGGCGATGCTGCTTGGCCTTCCCTTCCCGTCGCATCCGCTGCCCCATCCGCTTTCTTCTCTGGACTTTGCTTTGCGACTTTCAATTCTGCTAGAGAGGCCGTAATCTGCGGGCTAGCCTGCTTATTGATAAGGCCGTTTTCAAGTTCAGTTTCTGTCTTTATTTCTGCCGAAGGAGCCACTGTTTCAGTGACCGGTACAGCAGCAGTAACGCGTTCAGTAGCGATAACACCAAGGGCCGAATATGGTGCTATGGCGCCAGTATTACCATCATCATCAGAAGTATTGGCATCAGCAGCAACTGCAGCAGCTGCATCGACAGACACAGGCAGATCCATTTGACGTGCACAGGCAACAGGTGCGTGTGAGCAAGGTGAAGAGCCCCCAGCAGCTGCAGAAGCAGCAGCACCGGTAGTGGTAGCGGCAGCGGCGGCGGCAGCGGCAGCGGCAGCGGCGGCGGGATGAGAGGGTAGTGAAGGGATGAGAGCTGTGACTGGAAGGTCTGCAAGGCAGGGCTTACACTCCAGTAGCATCTCGTGGTTCCGGTGCACTTTGCGGGAGGCATGGGCAAGCGTGCTCACCGTTTTGTAACACGCCGAGGCACGGGCAGCGTCTCGAACACACACCGCCGCCGCCGCAGCAGCAGCGCTAGTGTGAAGAGCAGCAGGAGCAGCAGCGGTAGCAGCAGGGGGAGGTGCAGCAGGAGAAGCAGCAGGATTGACAGAAAGAGGTGCTTTAGCAGCAGCCGTTAGGGCAGCGGCAAGCACAGAGGCAGTGGCATGAGAATGCGCCGGCTGAGCCAGCAGCACTCCAGCAGAAGCAGAAGCAGTAGTAGTGGCGGCTCCCACTCTGCCAGATGGAGCAGAGGCGTCAGAACCAGAAGCAGCAGCAGAAGCACCAAGTGCAGAGGCGGCAAGTGCAGAGGCTGCAGACATGGCAGCGCCAGCCATGCTTCTGGGCACTCGGAAGGGACGGCGGCTCTGCGCCCTGAAGGTGCCTGCTGCTGCTGCTGGAGCGAACCCAGGAGATGATGCAGCGACAGCAGTGGATGCAGCAGCAGCAGTGGGAGCAGCAGCAGCAGCAACAGTAGGTGCAGTGGCAGCAGCAGGTGAAGCAGAGGCAGCGACTGCATTAGGCTGGTTGAATGCGAGCATCGTAGTGAGAGGAAGCGCAGTGATGCTGCTCCTTCCTTTCGTTGAAACTGCGACAGCAACAGCGCTATCGTTGCCGTCGCTGCTGTCTCTGCAGACCACACTGTTACCAGTAGCACCAGTAGCACCAGAACCAGTGGTATTGCTGCTGCTACCGGAACCACAGCTTCCAAGTCGTGCTGGTGCTGGCAGCGCCGCAGCAGCAGCAGGGGTCGCAGCAGCAGAGGCAGCGGCAGCAGCAGGGGTCGCTTCAGCAGAGGCAGCGGCAGCAGTCACAGATAAGGCAGCAGGTGAGAGGGACGAGGCAGGAGATAAGGGGCATGCGGCAGCAGCGGCAGATGCAGGTGCAGTGGCTGACCATAACCCTCCACCCACCTGCACGGGGCACGGATGCTGCTGAGGCACGATCCGCGCCCATGATGCCGCTCCCCCGCCCCTCCCGCTGCCAGCGCTGCCGCTGCCAGTGCCACCGATGTTACTGCTAGCGCTGCCCCCAGTGCTGCTGCTGCTGCTGCGGAAGTGGTCGACTGGAGTTATGACAGGGCCGCTCGTGCTCCAGCTAGGCTCGGATTTAACGAGCCTGATGCTGACGCTGGCAGTGGCAGCGGCAGCGGCAGCGGCAGCGGCAGTGGCAGTTTCAGCGGCAGCTGCAGTGGCAGTGGCGGCGCCAGTGAACGCTGCAGGCGCAGGCATATGCGCAAGCATACGGATAGGCGCGGGCAAAGGCGCTGGCAAAGGCGCAGGCGCAGGCACAGGGACAGGCGCAGGCTCAGGCATAGGCGCAGGCACAGGGGCTAGCGTAGGCCGCAGTGGCGCAGGCGCAACCACAGGCGCGGGCGCAACCACAGGCGCGGGCGCAACAGGCGCGGGCGCAACCACAGGCGCAGGCGCAGGCGCGCGCGCAGACAGGGCCACGCCTCTCGCAATCGTTGCGTACCGCGAATGGGGACGGCCAATGGGCGACTCGAAAAGGGGGAGCGGAGTGCCGGGCGTGGCAGGCCGCGACTCACAGCCGACAACACTGCCAATGTCCGTGCCAGTGCCAGTGCCAGTGCCAGTGCCAGTGCCAGTGCCAGTGCCAGTGCCAGTGCCCTTCCCTCCTCCGCTCGTCGTTTCCTCCACTCTCTCCGCTCTGTCCGCTGTTTCCGTGAATTCGGTTTTGACCAATGGCACCGGACGCTTATCACCCATGACCGCGGTGAAGGTGGTGGGATTTCTACTTGCGGTGCCGCTGCCAAGGCAGCTGCCATTCCCTTTCCCGTCCCCGTTCCCGTTTCCGTTTCCGTTCCCGTTCCCGTTCCTGTTGCCGTTCCCATTGCCGCTCCCCTTCCCGTTCCCGCTCCCGTTGCCGTTGCCGTTCCCGTTCCCGTTCCCGTTCCCGTTCCCGTTCCCGTTCCCGTTCCCGTTCCCGTTCCCGTTGCCGCTCCCGTTGCCGATCTCATTGCCGTTGCCTTTGCCGCCACTGCCTGCCGTCGGGGCTGGCTTCTTTTTCACGTGCTTGCGCAGGTAGCGGGGGCACTGTCCCTTAGTCCGGTGGTTGTGGGTGTTCAGATAACGAGTATGCAGTGTACTGGGCGTGACCTTGCTGGACGGATCGATCTCAACTACCTTGCGCGCACGGCATGGCGAGGTTTCGGCTCGCGACCACACGCACTTGTAGTAGGCCCTGCCACGTGGACGCCAGGGCGACAGGGGTGACGGGGGGAGACGGGGGACGGGGGGAACAGGGTGAGCGGAGGAAGGCGGGGAACGAACGTGAAGCGAAGGAATATGCTACTAGCCATTGCTTGGGTGATTCACAAGCGCCGCTGTGGTCGCCTCAGAAGCTACTACTAGAGAACTTGGAGATGGAGGTTTCGTTGCCAGGGCTACTACTCGACAACATTGGAGGAGGAGATTTCGGAAACCCCTGGGAGTTTGGGTGGTTGAGGAGGGCCAAACCATTTAGCCATTGGGTCCGTCCAATATTCTGTACCCTTTTTAGATTTACGACGGTATACCATATAGGTTAGTATAAGTACACCGTGATCAAAGAAGATAGTTGAGAAATACAAACAAAAGCATTCATGAAGCTGGGCAAAGTAACCTTAGAAAAAAAAAAAAGGGTTTCCTGCTCAATTCGCGCACGATTGTACTTCCAAGGTAGTACCTTACGATCGGCCGAGTCGCCGAGACGCGCTTCTCGCCGTACTTGAGCCAATTAAAACCGTCAGAATTAACAATGTGCTGGATTCGCCCGGCGCGACAAAATTCACTGTCCTGCCCGTCGTCTCCATCAGGGAGAAGATCCTGATCTGCAGATGCCCTTGGCGAGTCGCCTTCGGAAGAAGGCGATACTACTAATGGCGGCGATTGTAGTAGCACGGAACGCGACGCGCTCCCATCATTGTTGCTACAGAGGACATTCTGTATAGAAGTAGTATTGGTAGCATTGTCGTGATTTGAGCTTGAACTGTGGCCGTCCATTGAATGGAACGAGCGGGGATTGCGGCACGAGAAGAAAATCGTCACTCACAGGAATTTACCAAGTTTAGATACAGCATTCCGACGAAACACAAACGCATCTACGGAGCTGTGAACTACATTGCGGCGAGTAGGCCATTCTCAGTTATGACCACCCATTATCTCATAGCCACCATCCGTGAGATACGAAGTTTATCAGAAATCCATTTGCTCACAAATGCAACAAGCACCACCAGAATGAGATGGGATGGAAGAGCTCGGTAAGCAAAATTTGCTGATTAGGGGAGGGGAGGGGAGGGGAGGGGAGGGGGCAAAATTAGTGATTGGTGGAACTTCGCAATTTGGGCTGATGGCCAATCCGGCGAGTGATTGCTGCAGCACTTCCAGCCGCTCGGAGCGGGAGAGCACGAGCGCATGGCGTCCCTCCGCAAGTGGCGCGGCCGGGATGTCATCCACCGCCAAATGCGGAGAGTTGAGCTGCAGCGCCCTAGTTTCCATGCCAACTGTTTACAAATTACACGTGGATCGGAATGGGTGATTCGTCGACACTTGGAAGATGCGAGCCGGCTGAGCCGTCTCATGGGAGATCCCCTCAAACGATCGGTTCGGAATTTGGTAAAGCCCAGTGAAGGTCACGTAAAAATGGATCGTATATTCAGGGATATTTGTATAGAAAAACGTACGTAGACCGCAAACACACAACATGAACTATCGACCTAATGCGTGTTCAAGAATCTGTCCCTCTTCAAGTGATTTATCCCACGAAAACAAATTTCCACGTGCAAGAGCGG